CAAAAAACATATATATATATATATATATATATATATAGGCAGGAGCAGTGGAAACATATTCTACATTCAGTGAACAGCATGAGGAATAGGAAAAGGTACTATGAATGGTATATATGGGGAAACTCAAAGCTGTTCAGTGTTGTTAGAGTATAAATTGTAAAGCTAGGAGAGGTTAATGAAAGTATTACTTTCTTTTGGTCATCAGTTTTGGGACTAATATCTTTACATCAATTGTGGGTCTCATATATTTAACGCTCTATTTCCATTGTTGTTTTTGTTTGTCTAGAGTTTTGGTCATTTTCCAAGATGACAAAGCACATGTTACTGTTTTGTAATTAATAAGTGCCTCCATGTCCCTTTTTTTCATTTTAAAGCTTTTTGAACAGACTAAAAGGTCTTTTTTTTCTCTAAAAAGCTGTACTTGTGTCATAAGGTATACTTTTTCTGCTGGTGTATTTTAAAAATATTTTAAATCTTTTTTTCCCCTTACAACCACACATAATTACTACTATTTTTAAAATAAATATGTATTCATTATATATTATCTATATCTATCTATCTATCTATCTACCTCTTAATCTTAGAATAGTGCCTAGCTATTATTATTATGCGCCAGGCACATTTTACTTCCAAAATATATGGACAAACATTAAGATCTGATATATATTCCACCATCCGGGGAATTTCTCAAGATCATATTACAGAACAGTTTAAAGCCAGTTATTCTACTCTAACAGTTATTTAATTTTATTTTACTGCTCTCTCTCCGTTTGTCTTTCTTGGACGTAGTTTTACTCATTTGCAATATAAAGAGACACAGGCTTAATTCATAGCGGCATTGTGTTAAGAGGAAAGGGACAATCCTACTCTATCTACTATTTGGCTGCGCTGCTTTGGGCGCGGCTCTGCCTCAGGGTCTAAGCCAGGGTGGGAGAATTGGCTGTTTCCAACCGAACAAGCTTTCCAGATGACTGGGTGGCAGCCTGCGCCACAGCGAATCTCTTTGGTTTTCACTGTCAGTGACGGTCATTTTTAGAAGCGGGTTTGTTTCCTTCCCGAATCCACCTCCTCACTCCCTCTCCGGGTCCTTCGCCCCAAAAGGAGTTTGACTTTACTTTCGCAGTCTGACACCCTGGCGCCCTCCGCCACCGGGCAGCCCGGCAGAGGCCCGCCACTGGAGTTACTCTGTCCTCCAGGTCCCCTCAGGACACACCCAGCAGGAGGCACTGCCCCGGACGGTGAAGCCGGCACCGGGGGTCGCCCGTGGGGCCGCCTGGGTGCCTCGCCTTCGGGATGGAGCCGACCAGTGCAGACCTGCGGCCACCAGAGCGGAGCCGGGAACGGTATTCGCCTGGGCCGAGGAGGAAGCCGGAGCATTTGGGGGACTGGACCGCGGGAACCCGGAAACGCCTGGGCCGCACCGGGCCGGCGGCAGCGACGGCAGCGGGAGCGGGCGCCGCTGCGCTTCAGGGGTTGCGGGGACCCGGCGGGCGCCGCAGCCTGGGGGGCCCGGCGGAGCTGAGCCGCCGCCCCCAGTGCGCGCAGCCGGCCGAGCGGCGTGGGAGGTGAGTCTGGCGCGCTCCTGGGCGGCTGCGGGCACGGGGAGGCCGGTGACCGTGGCTCCGGCCAGGGCAGTGATGTGAAATCCGTCTGAGTGAAGGGGACGGTGTGGATAGACTTTAAGTACTAGCTAAGTAGGGGTGGGAGTGGAGGAAGTGACACGTTGTTAAGTCCGAGGGAATATATGAGGAATGTGCTGGGTGGAAGAGGAAAAAAGGGCCCGGGGAAAGGGGTGTGTCAAGCGAATGAAAACCACAGTGTTTGCCTTAGAGGCTGGGGCGTGGGGAGCCGCGGCCGGAGGGCCAGGCTGGCGGTCATTCCGTCAGCGAACTGTCCCGGAGCTCCTGCTCGGTGTGTGGCCCTGTGGCAGGTACCGAGCCACCAGACGGGGACGCTGCGCTGAAGAAGTCGCAGGGACTTCAAAAAATGGAAAAGCAGCCCTTGGTAAGGCTAATACATAGGCAAGGGCTGTCTGAGGCCAGGTGGGATTCCTATCAGAACAGGTGTGTGTGTTGGGAGAGGGTTCTGAGTGTTTAGGAAGGGAGCATTTTAATTAACATTTATTTAAACCAACTAAACTCCGGGGAACGCTGGTTCAAATGAATTAAAGGATAATAATATTAAATGTAGTACTGGGCCTTGCTTAGTAAAACACGTGTCATTACTTTATGGTAGAAGACTGAATCTTTTATTATGTTCTATTACATGTAGTATTTGAAAATGGAACCAGAGTTAAGTTTTTTGTTTTCGATCAACATTCAACTTTGGTAGTTAAAGATGAAATTTTGGTACAGTTTCTCACTTCGTGCGCTTACTCATTTTCACTGGTAAACTCTGGTTGTTTCCTTTAAAGGCATGACTTCTAAATTTATATTTCTGGTCCTAACTTTCCTCCCAAGTATTGATTCTACTTTTTCAGCATCTCAATTTGCTTCTTCCCTTTTTCATTCCTGTGCTTAACGTGGCTTCTCTTTCCTCTTCTTACTTATGCTATAGCAGTGGCTAGACTTGCTGCCCTCAGCCTGTCTTCCTTCCAATAACTGCCCCCCCATACTGCTTTTTAAAGCCAGAGGTCTTGTGTATTCTTTTCCCTCAGAAATACTCGGTGACTCTCTGTTGAATCCAGAATAAATTTAAAGTTATTTAGGGTAGTATCCAAAACTCTTCAAAATTTGTAGCTGTCCATGGCTCCAATCAGATCCAAAATCAGAAATCAGTATCATTGGGCTGATATCAAAGTGTCAGAGGGACTATGCGCCCTTTGGAGGCTCTAGGAGAGAATCTGTTCCCTTTTTCATCCAGCTTTGGTGGCTGCCAACATTCCTCGGTTTGTGGGTGCATCACTCCAGTCTTCAAGCCCAGCATCTTCAAATCTCTTTTTGCTCCATCTTTACATTGCCTTCTTCTCTTGAGTATCTGTATTTTCCTCTTCTGTCTCTTATGAGGACACTTACGTTGGCGTTTAGGCCTCACTTAGCTAATGCAGAATAATTTTCCCATCTCAAGATCCTTAACTTAATTTCATCTGCAAAATTCCCTTTTCCAAATAAGGTAACATTTACAGGTTTTAAGGATTAGGACCTGTTGCTCAGTAGGGTTATCAGCAGTTGGGAAGAGTTGACCTAAAGCAGGGAAGGGAGGATAACTGGAACCTGCCGGCACCTTTGCTTCTGTTTCACCACATTTAACTGAGAATCGTCTGGAGTAATGGCTGTTGCTTCACTTCTGCCTTCCAGATCTTGTGCAGGTTTTGTGTTTAGCCAATTCTGACCTGGCACCATATAGAGAAGGGGATTTGCGGAAATGTGTTTGAGTTTAACCAAGTTGATACAGTAATAATACAAGGACCATAATAATACAAGGATCATAATTTCCCTATATTTTCCTGTTATACACCATGTCATAGCAGTTTACACCCTTATACTGTTTCTTAAATTATTTGAATAATATGTGTCTTCCATGCTAGAGGATAAGCTCTATGAAGAAACAGATTATATTTGTTTTGTTCATCATTGTGTATCAGTGCTCATCATATTTCCTGACCATAGTTAGTATTTAAATATTGATGGTGAATTGTGTGATACCTTTATTTTCTACTTCTGACCGCATCTCCTGAATCTTGAAACCTTACTAATGGTTAGTGCCTGTGGACCTGTCATGGAGGAGGAATTTTTCCTCTACTCTTCTAGGTTCTTCTGGCCCGTCTAAGAATTAAATTGACATGAGACAGATTGAGGAGAAAAATCACACAAAAATTTAATAACACGGATACATGGGAGAGACCCAGGAATACTGAGTAACTTGTCAAAATGGCTGAAACCCTCACCTTACATACCATCTGCAGCTAAAGACAAGAGAGGATGTTGGGGGTAGTGGTTTGAGGCTTCAAAGGGGAGGAAAGCAATTGATATGGAGATGTAAAAGCAAAAGTTTGATAAATAAATATTTGCTGGGCCATGCAGAGACAGTGGGACACAGAGTGGACTCTGATCTCTAGGTTCTGCCTAGAGTTTCCCTCCACCACACATAGCCCATATTCTTAATTCTTTGCAGATATCTCTGGTGATACTGTGGGAACAGGCCCTCTATCTAATTTTTTTTTCTTTTTTTTATCAGTTAGGGGAAAGGTCAAAGATCTTGCTGAGTCTTTGGGGCCTTCACTGTTTCCAGCTTGAAATAAACCCACATGCCAAAGAGATATTTTGGCATGACAAGTTTTGCTACCCTACAGATCCTACCCGGATTGTACAGTAGTCTCTGTTCTTTGTAGAATACCTTTAACATCAGCCTTTAGGCTGTAAGTGGTGGGAAGTGACCATAGCAGAAAGTGGTAGAGCAGAATGGCACAGGGATGGGGAAATGAGAGGGTGAGAAAGGAGTACGTTTTTACATGGCACCTCACATTAGAAGGGGATCTTAGGGCTATATTTATTAGGTCTTTATGTTTTCCCAGTCACTGACATTATGTAAAGAGTACAATAATATTGAACAATTTATAATCTAAAAATTAGAATGCAGGTAGGTTTTATGTTTGTTAAGTTGAAGAAATATTTGAGTACTGTTGATTTTATCTGAATGTAGGAGTGGAAATTCTGCAGTCTGTAAACGAACAAATTAAAAATTGACACAGTACTCTAACTTACATACAAGTGATATTGTCTTATGTAAACAGATACCTGATACCTTGAGGAAGAAAAGGAAGGAGAAACAATGAAAAGTTGTTTAACTTAGAATGTAATAGGAGCCATAGAATGTAAAGAGTCAGTTGTTAAGTGTTGTCCAGCAGGATTTTGCTTTTCTTAAGCACTTAAGAGTGAACTTAAGTTCACTAACTTAGTGGAGCTTATTATTTTTATCGTAGAAACAAAATTGACTATGTCAATAATGTAAAGTACCTTTAATTCATATTTCTTTCGCTTTTATAAATAAGATTTTGGGTTTTCCACAGGGTTATTATGGACTTCAAGTACAACATATTGTTGCTACTTTTGGAGAATACTGTCTCTACTTCTGAGATAGTTTGGCAGGAAGATATATAAATGCCAGTGTCAGAAGTAAAGCCAGTTGTGATGAATTTTGTCATTATTTAGTACACGGTTATAGGTTGCAGTTTTAAAGTTTTGGCATCATGGAAGATAATGAACAAAAAATTGCAGCTGAGGTCAGCATTACTTTTTCTGTTCATTTACTTGGAAAAACTTTAAAAGGTTTGTTTTTATACCAATAGCTGTTTCTGACTGGTGTAATGTGAATTTATATTTGCATAGCACTTTAAAATGTGTGTGTTTTCATATGTACTCTATTGTGTCATTAACCTAAAATAGATTATAATATTATACTTAGGGAGTATATTTCAGAACTAATGTTTAGAAAATGTAAATATAGCTCACTCTGAAAACCTTAAGTTAGAAATTTAACCTTTTGTTTTTATAATAGAAGGAAAATTGATTTGCAGAATTACTTAGGTACTTAGTAGTCTTTAAAAATCTGTATAAATTTTTTTTTTTTAAGTTGCTAGTCTCTTTCCTGCCTAAAGGAGTTCCTTTAGCATTTGTTGCAAAGCTGGTCTGGTGATGCTGAATTCTCTTAGCTTTTGCTTGTCTGTAAAGCTTTTGATTTCTCTGTCAAATCTGAATGAGAGCCTTGCTGAGTGGATTATTCTTGGTTGTAGGTTATTCCCTTTCATCACTTTAAATATATCATGCCACTCCCTTCTGGCTTGCAGAGTCTCTGCTGAGAAATCAGCTGATAACCTTATGGGAGTTCCCTTATATGTTATTTGTCATTTTTCCCTTATTGCTTTTAATATGTTTTTTGTCTTTAATTTTTGTCAATTTGATTACTGTGTGTCTCTGTGTGTTTGTTTCTCCTTGGGTTTATCCTGCCTGGGACTCTGTGCTTCCTGGAGTTGGTTGACTGTTTCCTTTCCCATGTTAGGGAGGTTTTCAGCTATTATCTCTTCAAATATTTTCTCAGGTCCTTTCTCTCTGGCTTCTCGGTCTGGGACCCCTATAATGCGAATGTTGGTGTGTTTAATGTTGCCCCAGAGGTCTCTTAGGCTGTCTTCATTTCTTTTCATTCTTTTTTCTTTATTCTGTTCCGTGGCAGTGATTTCCACCATTCTGTCTTCCAGGTCACTTATCCATTCTTCTACCTCAGTTATTCTGCTATTGATTCCTTCTAGTGTATTTTTCATTTCAGTTATTGTATTGTTCATCTCTGTTTGTTTGTTCTTTAGTTCTTCTAAGTCTTTGTTAAACATTTCTTGCATCTACTCAATCTTTGCCTCCATTCTTTTTCCCAGATCCTGGATCATCCTCACTATCATTATTCTGTATACTTTTTCTGGAAGGTTGCCTAACTCCACTTCATGTAGTTGTTTTTCTGGGGTTTTATCTTGTTCCTTCATCTGGGACATAATCTTCTGCCTTTTCATTTTGTCTGACTTTCTGTGATTGTGGTTTTCATTCTGCAGGCTGCACGATTGTAGTTCTTCTTGCTTCTG